GTCAGAGATTTCACCCGAGCATGGGGTGGGTTGGGATCAGGGAGGATGGAAGGCAGAGAGGGTAGGAGGGTAGTATTATTATTATTATTATAGCCAATTTGCACACAGCACTGGCCTGACAAACAAAAGAGAAGGGTGTCCTGGCCAACAATACCCTCCAGATAAAAATTGGTTATTCACTTCACGGCTATTTGTGGGATGCAGCTGTGCGCAGATTGGCTGCCGGGTTCGCCTACAAAATACATAGTCACTACACGTTACAATAAAACCGTGCAAAGCGCTTTGAGACTTTTTGAAAACCTGACAGGAGAAAAACAAGGGTCTTCTGCCCTTTATTTTACATTTAAGGCTCCAGCCTGCTCCACGTTCCCCCACCCGGCGGTCAGGCCTTCAGTCTCTCTGCCCCCCACCCTCTGGAACTCCATCCCACAGTGCCTTCGCCTCGCCCCCTTCCTTGCTTACTTCAAGGCACACCTCAAGACCCTCTTCTTCGCCCATGCCTTCGGCCACCCACTCTGCCCTCCACCCTCCCTGATCCCAACCCACCCACCCGCTTGGGTCCTAATCCCTGACTGTTCAGCGCCTCGGAACATCCTCCCCATGTGAAAGGAGCGTTGCAAATGTAATGTTGTATTGTTTTGTACAGAAAAATATCCACCCCTTCTGGTCCCCCTCCCCTCCCCCTCTATTCCCTTCTCCCTCATGCAAACGCCTCTGAATTTAGAACCAGCCCAACTCCGCACAGCGTGCTGCATGGTCAGATTGTGTAACGATGTAATCCTTCCAATATTTACTGTGTTTAAGAAAAAAAATCTGAGCTTTTAACACATCCTCATCCTAATTCCTCAATTTGAAGAGGTTCTGTGATTAATGTGCGCTAATTATGCCCTCATTTATACTGACAAGAAAGCATATTTCTGTAATTGCCTTCTTCAGATCTTGTCAGTGAACGAAGGGGTCTTAAAATTAAACGGAACACATTAGTGCCTTGATGTTGGACGAGGTCTATATTTCCCCAGTTTGGAGCACGACTGTGTGACATGCAAATAACTTAAAAGGCGTATTATTAAAGTTGTCCATTCCCCAGAGATGAGCTTTAGCTGTCCTGCGAGCGTTAATGATATTCATGTTATTCAGCTCCTTTGTAATCTTGACACTCGCACCATGAAGATACGAAACTTTGCATGAGAAGCGTTCCTGATGCCTTATAGCTTGTTGGCATTGCGATTCAGACACCTAACAGCACAACTGGGCAAGAGCCGAAGCTTCGGGACCCCAGAGTGTCCCCCAAATGGCTGTGGAAATACTGGATCCCTTCACATCTTCAAGGCTGAGGTGGATGGATATTTATTAGGTCAAGAGATCAAGCGATATGGGGCAAGGGCGGGTAATTGGAGTTGAGGTACAGATCAGCAATGATCTTATAGCATGGCAGAACAGGCTTGAGGGGCTGATTGGCCTCCTCCTGCTTCTATGTTTCTAATCCTTGTGGTTTCAATACTTGTTAGTCATTTTGCATTGTGTTCCACAAGGTTGGCTCAGTTAATAGCACCCAACATTGCGCTGAGGTGTCAAGCTTGTTTCAGAGATCTTGTGACCTACAATTTTCCAACTTCCAGAACCGGGTTAACTGGTGGAGTCAGAAGATTGTGGGTTGAAGCTCCACACTGGAACTTGGAACTCACATAGTCAAAGATGACTCCTAGCCATTCTAAGTTGGTGCTGTGCGCAACTTGGCTGCCGTGTTTGCCCACAAAACACTCTACAGTATATCCTGTGAAGCATTTTGAGACATCCTCTTGATGTGAATGCCACTATATATACCAAATGCAAGGATTACTATTTTTATTTAACTCACTAGAGCAGCTTGCCATTAGGAGTTCTGTCCAGCTAAGACCATGTTTCTCCCCACCCACCCCCTATGACCTCTTCCCCCCCAACCTCTCCCTCAGCCAAGCATTTGGAGTCCTGTAGCTCAGTGGTTAGAGCACTCGCTTTGCAAGCAAGAGACCTGAGTTCAATTCCAGACAGAGGGCGAAATCTTGGGCAAGTTTCCTTACTCCACACAGAGCCTAATAATAATCCCTCCAAAACCAAAACAATAATAAATTGGTCATTTTCAATCCACGACTGTTTGCAGGACACTGCTGTGCGCAATTGGCTGCCGCGTTCGCCCACAAATATACAGTCAATTCACTTTACAGTGTGTTCTGTGAAGCGCTTTGGGATGTCCTCCCGATGTGAAAAGCGCTATATCGAATGCAAGGATTATTATTATTATAATCTCCCGTACAGCTTATCCGATGGTTTTCTGTGCTGGGTTGGCAATACCGAGACACTTTCTGTTTGGAAAGACACAACGATGTATGAACATTGTTGGTGCTATCAGGATGCATGACAGTGTACAAATGTGAGTCTGATGCAGTGCTGTGTTATCAAAGCAAGAAAACTAACCAGGGACTGGGTGATTGATACAGCTGCCAATCTACCTTCTATTTGTACTGTCTGCATAATCTGAATCTGTTTCCAGCATGAACTCAGGTTCCCGCAGGGTCCAGCTGAATGCAGCGGGCAGTGTCTAACAGAGCATTTGAAATAACAGCACATGAGGAGGTGATCCAACACATCAGAGCATGCCCTCAGAACTCCAGTGCAAACAGATAGATTAGACAGGTGCTAATACTGCAGCTACGACACTGCACTGGTGCCGAGGGCAATGAATTAGCTTAAAATGGCCAATTTCAGGACAGACAACTCCTCCCTTTCCTCCTTCAAGGCCGGTCTCAAGACCTTTCTCTTTGACCGTGCCTTCAGCTCCCCTCTCGACTCTCTACCCCCTCCTCGCTCCCTCCCTTCCCTCCCCTCACCATTTCCCCCCTGCTCGGGTCCTGACCCAACTGTACAGCGCCTTGGGACGTCCTCCCGACGTGAAAGGTGCTCTATAAATGGAATCTTGTTGTTGTTGTAAGGAAACTTGCCCTATGTTTTGCCCTGCTGGGAATCGAGCCCAGGTCTCTCGCTTGCGAGGCGAGGGCTCTAACCACTGAGCTACTGGACTCCATAATCAACTTGACTATGTCATTGGACATTTGTGTGTCCATGAAAGAAAAAAGAAAGATAGGGAGAGAAAGCGAGAGAGAGAGAGAGAGAGAGAGAAAAAGAGAAACAGAGAGAATGAGCTGTCGCTGGGGTGTGTGTCGAGGAGTGTTCCTCAATAAATTAAAGGAAATTTTCTAGAAGTTCTCCAACGGTAAAAGTCTTGAGTTTTTAGGATGTAAAACATCATTGTTAGATGCAAAGCCTTTTGATTTGTGTTTTTGTGCGACATTAAAGCTCCGTCTCCCAAAAATACAACACGCTCGCTCCGTGCTGGAAGAAATTGCCGGATAATTTTTTGTGTGTGTGGAGTTTTGGTCGTCATGGAGACGTTACAGTGGAGCTTCTCTGCATTGCTTCCTTTCCTTTCAACCTGCGTCAACACAGGCCTCTCGTTCGCTCGCTCAATCCAGTCGCTCGGCCCGTTGTCCATAAACGACCCCTGATTCACACAGAAAGTCTTCTCACTTAATCTGGAAGTCGTGTAAAATACTTCACAATTCCCCCACTTTATTATTTTCTTCGGGGGTTGGAATGAGGCACTTTGGTGCTTTCTCCTGACGTAAAAGGCGCTTTACAAATGTAATTTGTTGTTGTCTTGAGGGAGCAATTGATTAGATCTTTCCTCCTCCCCACCCCCCTCACATGAATTTAATGACTCCCCCCCCACCCCCAACCACACCCCCAGTCATCTGTGTGAAACACTACATCTTCCCGACGTGAAAGGTGTTGTACGAATACAGAATTGCTATTGTTTTTCTCTTTCCCAAACCAGCGCTTGAACAAAAATAAAAGCTTTTATATTTGTTCAGGAGAATTCACCACAAGTTGCTCAGACTCTTTTACATATTTAATACAGACTGTGATCTCCGCAAGTAAATATCGCAAGTGAAGATACACAACCACTTCAAATATTTGAGTTATATTATTCATAATTCTGTGGGGGAAAAAAAAACCTCTGGGTATTTACCCATGTCTGAAGTCTGTGATGACACCCGGCTGTCAGTTCTCTGACATATGCCAGTGTTTATTCATTCCATTTCCAAATTCCCTTGCCTTATTCATGCATAAATTTAATAGGTGCTTTCTGCAGGAGTACATCTTAATTTTAATGGCTGACCTGCATTCACCTCACTTGTTTTAACTGAATAATGGTATTCCTGCTTCATTGACTTAGACCAATACTGAAAATCTTTCTCCGTCAAATATTTTTCGAACAGGGATATTTTCAGATTTCCGAAAGCCTATCTCTTCGAGCGCACCCATGGTGACTTCCCCCATTCTCCCCTCGCCCCCTCTCCCTTCCCCCTTCTCCCCCTCTTCCTTCCCTTCTCCTTTCTACCATCCCCCATCCTCTTCTAACTATTTGATAATAATTATTGTATAATTGTTCTAATTATTTGATAAGGCGCTATATCAAATGCAAGGATTATTATTACTGTTATTATTCTCCCTTGCTCAACACTCAAACCGGTCTTTGAACAGTGTTCCAAACCATTGTGTTACATGAAGGCCAATAATAATATTCATAATAATCCTTGCATTTGATATAGCACTTCATCACGTTGTTGAGAAGTCTCAAAGCACTTCACAGAATATATGTTGTGGGCGAAACACGACAGCCAATTGCGCACAGCAGCGTCCCACAAATAGTCGTGGATTGAGTGATTATTATTAGTTGTATCTCAAAGAGCTCCCTCTCAAGTCTGTTGAGTAAAAATTGGGCTGCCTCATTCATCTACACAATACACGGTCACTACGCTTTACAGTAAAATTCTGCGGAGCATTTTGAGGTGTCCTCCCGATGCGAAAGGCGCTGTATTGAACACACAAATGCTCATTATAATTATTATTATGATGATGATGATACGGTAAGCAAAGTAACATTATCCTCTGTTTTGCAGAGCTTGCCAGAAGGACAGTCGGCGGCTTGGGACACTGCCAAGAAAGAGGAAAACCGCTGTAAGAACAGATATGGAAATATCATTGCTTGTAAGTGTGAGCTGCAGCGAGTGGATGAATGTTATAAATACACAGTCAATAACCCAGTCCCGATGAACTGATAAAAACAAGCTGCTGACGCCAAACTCAATAGGGTTTCTAAAAGGCTCTTGATTATAAGATGTTCCCAGGCGTCTTTCTGGAAAATGAATTCATTTTCCTCCCCACTCCACCCCACTCCCTCCCAGAAAAAAATCAATGAGAACCAGAGTCAGCACATTTTAACGTGTTTTGTAACAAGAGTCAATAATGCTAATCCTTCCCATTGTGAAGGGTCTGCAGTAAATAACGGACCTTTATTATGTCAGGCTACGCTACCATGGTAGCTATCTTTCAGCCACTCCTACAGTCCTTCACTGTCTGTCTCTGTTGAGTTCATCTTTTTTCTGAGTGTTCTGATATTCTCTGATGCTGGTTTGTGAAGAAGTTTGCCCACTACATTGTGCGTGAGCACACGTGTTCTCCCTCTTTCTCTCACACAAACAGACATGCACATGCGTACATTCGCGCATACATACACAGACGCACACACGCGCACTTACAGTACACGCACGCATACGTATGCAGTCATACGCACATGCACATACACCACTTAACACATATGCAGACACACACAGGCACACACACACATACACACGCACGCACACACATGCGCAGACACCATGGACACACACACACACGCGCGCGTGCGAAATAACAGAAATCAGAACTTACTTCATTTCCACGACTCTCCCTTGAAGGCTGCTATACACTTTGTAATATGAGAATAAATGATATAACAATCCTTGCGATTTCTTTCATATAGCGCCTTGTCAACACCGCCGAGACGTCTCAAAGCGTTTGACAGGACCGTTGCCGTGATGTGTAGTGACTGTGTATTTGTAGGCGAATTTCACTGCTTGTGTTTAGCATCCCCAGTGCCCCTGGTTTCCGGGCTGTGTATTTTAAATGCATGCTGCAACGGAGCAAGTCTTTGCCATGCGTCAGACGCATCTGAAGTGATGTGTGAATAATTTATAACTAAGTGCATGAAGTGGGTTGAAGCGTGCTGCAATAAAGCTGAAATTTAGAAATGGATTGGTGCTGTGATTGCCGATAATTTCCTTTGACCTTTTTTTTGTATGTATAATTCATTCATACATTCATTCATTCGGGGGTCGTAAATCAACACAGATGTACTCCAGGGTCTTATTATGTGCATTGGAAGAAATGGTTAAAAAATAATTTGCAATGATATATTACCGTGCTCTTTCCCACTGATGGAATGTTACCATTGACTTCCCTCTTAAGTACTCTGATGATTAGTTTGGATGAGGAAGGCCCTTTGGCCCATCCGATCTTTTCCTTCCAGAACAACCACCCTACCATCACCCCCCGTCACAGCATCGAGCTGCTTGTGAAATGAGTCCCAGTGACACAACCCTTTGGAACGGAAGAGGTTAAAATCCTTCGCTGTCTTGTTCCGACGGTTAAATCATCCACCAGGAGCCCAGGTGGTGCGTTTTGAGTCCAGTTAGTGATTTCTAATTACTCGGGTTGACATGCGTCCACGCAGTGTTCATAACAAGTAGGGAAATGTGTCACGGGCATGAATTGGGCTTGTCAACACTGAACTGCCAGAAAAGAAAGTGGCACCAGTCAAGCTGAGTTTCCTGACAGCTGCCTCTCATCTCCTCTTCTTTCCTGCTCTCCACTCCTTTCCCCTCTCCACTCCTCAACGCAATTTGAGTCTCTCAAGTAGGTTTGAGTGCTTTACATACCACGGCCCTCTTTCTGTGCGTTTTGGTCTAATTCTCTCCCACGCGTTAATCCAATAAATTAACCTACACAGTTTAGTGTTTTAAGGTGTTTTCGCCGTGACTTGTTTAACCGTTTCTCCGATGACAGATTGCATGCACCATCTGAAGCCAACCTGCGGCCATCACTGAGTAAGTGAGCAATGGATGTTCGGAGACTCGGGTAATTTAGTTTTTCCCTTAACACATTAATGTAGAATTCTCGGTCATTACCTATGCTGGAGAAAAACCTAAACTGTTGGGAATTATGCTAATTAACGAACTGCATCTATAGGGGACCTGCTAATGAAGCTAATCGGTTCATTGACTGCACAGAGACAAAAATTAACACAAAATCAGTCTAATTTCAGTCAGTGCTGAATTCACCTCTTTCAGGTAATGAAACATTGCGAAATTCCAATAGATAGTCATTGATGTGTCTATTACTGTTCACCTGGTGTGCAAAGCATTATGTGTTTCGCACCCATTTGTGGTGCTGGGATCTGCGTGGAGACAGAACCAAAGGCTACGGCAAGAGACTTATGGGCAAAACCATTTTTAACGCAATCGGCAATTATCGGCCAGGACATCCCCGGGAGAGAAATGTCTCGCCATGTGATATAACGAGCACGTCACAAATCATTAGCACATCCCACACCTCATTTGCACCCCACGGTAAGTGACTTGTGCATTCGCTGAACACGTCTGATCCCAATGAACATATACGATTCTCATGTGAGTGGGGGCATGCGGGGGGTGGGTGGGGTGGGAGGGCGCGGAGAATTGGGTGCGTTCTCTGTGCCTTTCTCTTTGAATTGCTGTGCGCAATTGGCTGCTGTGTTTCGTCCACAAAATGGATTGGCGGATTGCTTTCCGGGGGGGGGGGGGTGGGGCAATAGTCCCTTCCAAAAAAAAATAATAATTTGGTCACTCAAACTATGACTGTTTGTGGGACCCTGCTGTACGCAATTGGCTGCCGTGTTTTGTCCACAAAATACACAGTCAGTTCACTTTACAGTGTTTCCCGTGAAGCGCCTTGAGATGTCTCGAAGACATGATAAGACGCTGTATCAAATGCAAGGATTATTATCATTAATACTAATTCTGGTACCAACAATCTTGCCGGGTGTCAGTTCAGGAGTGTGACCCTTTTGTTTCCATCGCTGGGTTTTAAAACATTCTGAATAAATCAATTAATGGCGCTTTATTCTCTTCTCGCTGTTTTGCTGACCTTTGGCAGGATCGTGTGAGTTACATCGGTAATTTGCCTGTGGTAATCTTTGGGGAATTCACAGCTTTCAAAGCGATCAGCACTGAGGTCTCGCATAAAAATAAAAGTGGCCTTCTGTGTCGTTTGACTGAAGCTGTTCAATAATAAGTAAAAACTAAGAGACATTACCCCAACCCAAGGCTTAAAAAAATCATTATCTTAAATGCTACAGCATTGACAGGCACTGTTGCATTTGCTCAAAGTAGGAAACGTGGAACAAATCTGACTCGGACGGATAAAATAAAATTGCTCGCCCCCTTCACGGCTGTTCGAGGGCCTTTGCTGCGTGCAAATTGGCTGCCGGGTTCGCCTGTAAAATGTAGACAGTCACTCCGCTTTACAGTCAAATCCTGTGAAGCGCTTTGAGACACCCTCCCAACGCGAAAACTGCTACATCGAAAGCAAGGATTATTCTTAATTATTAAATCTACAGCGACAGTCCACATGCCGACAGCTACCAGACATTTATAAGTTTAATAATTCCGGAGTTGAGCAGAATGCTGCTGTTTATTCAGAGAAGCATTCGTAAATCCGGAAGTCGTTCGACCATCAGAAACACATGCTACGCTCTACAGTAAGCCCTGTGAATTGCTTTGAGACGTCGCTGCGACGTGGTAAGGTGCTGTATCAAGACGCGAGGTCTATTATCATTATTATTCTTATTGTTATCTTTTTCTTTCAGTATTTCCTATTGTCCGTGATTGCTAATGGCTACTGATCGGAGTAAATTGCTCTCTTCCAGATGACCATTCTCGAGTCAGACTCCAGCTTCTTGACGGAGATCCCCACTCAGATTATATTAATGCCAACTACATAGATGTAAGTCACCTGCAACTATGTTATTTACTGACATCGAGCACCAATGGTTGAAAAGTCGGGGCTGAAATGCAGAATTTGTAAACATAAAGCTAGAAATTCCACCCAAGTCCATTTTTTTTAAGCCGGGTGTCTGACACATACGGAAACCCGTCACCGTGCTTAAGAGTATCCAAACCAAGCTGAGATTTCCATGTATCCCACCTTATATGTGGAAATCCCAGAGATAGTTTGTTGGAATGGAATGCGCACTCTCTCCCTGGAAGGACGCATCTTGCTTACCTAATTCCGGAAAGTATTAGGCGCAGGTTGGCAAAAGCCAAGGCGTGGTGGAACCCAGAGTGTGTGTTGGGGCAACTGCTGGCATCTAACCAGCTAAAACCACATAGCTTGCCATTGATATTGCTGTCCGGCAAGATTCCCCACCGCTTGTCCAGCGAGAACCACCCTACCCGTTAGGCCTTTGGTTTGCAGGGTTAACAGGATTTGAGTGGGATGACACTCTGCTTCCAAGTAACTGGTCTGCCTTGCCGATGAGCCAGGCTGGCTGTGCAGTCATCAGCAGTGCCCTGGAATACTGCGGACCCATCTTGCTCAGGAACCGGACTACCGAGCCCTCCACAGAGGGTTGGCTTAATTCCAATATTCCATTGCCAAGCACGTTACCTTGAAGCCAGTTCAGCTCCAACGAGACCCTGCTTTACCCAGGTCTACATTTATTCTATTGTAGTACATCTGAGTAAGAAGGTTGTGGGTTCGAGTCCTCAAGTCGGGACTTGGAATCTAAGATGACGCTCCAATGCAATGCTGGGGGGCGGGGTGTTGTATTGTCAGACGGGCCATCCTTCAGATGAGAAGTTAAACCGAGATCCAGTCTGCCTGTTCAGGTGGATGTTAAAGATGCCAGGTCACCAAGATATATTTGTGTTGCTATGTCCTCCTGACGTGAAAGGTGCTATACAAATGTAATCTTGTGTGTAAATTGGCTGCAAAATACAGTCACTACACTTTACAGTGTATTCTGTGAAGCTTTTTGAGACATCCGAAAGGATTTGTATTATTTTTTCTACATGACAATACTGCAAATAGCATTTCCTCTTATTTCTGATCCAGTTTTATAGTAATAATCCTTTAATTTGATGGAGGGCCTTAGCGCATCCTTGAGACATCTCAAAGGACTCCACAGATTATATTGTGAAGCGGATTGACTGTGTATTTTTTGGTGCGAAATTTATACTGTCAGCTTTATACCTCTTGTCAGTAACAAGTAGGCGAATGTTAAAAACTAGTTAGTGCATAAATTATAAGCAAGTCTATTAAAGCTAAACAGATGTTAGTGAATCGAATGAGTTTCTCTTGTTCTGTATCTGATTCCCTTTCTGTTTCCCAGGGCTACCACAGGCCACGTCACTACATAGCAACGCAAGGTAAGCAGAGGCAAGCTATAACCTTTGATATGTCTCAGTGAGATTTCTGTGGGATTGTAATCTTTCAAGGCTGACTGTGTCTGTATAGGGTCACAAAGAAGTGCCGGAAAAAACAGGTTAGTAGATGTCAGCCGGCAGCACTCTCACCTCTGAGTCAGGAGGTTGTGGGTTCAAACCCCATATTGGGACTTTGAACTCATCGTAGTTTAGGATGATGCTCCAATGCAGTGTTGACGGAGAGCTGTGTTGTCAGACTTGCAGGCTTTCTAACCTTCTGCTGAACTTTGAACGCAAAAGAATCACTGGCACTGTGGGAGTTAGAGAGCTGAAACATTACCAGAGGTTTTTGCTTTGGTGCAGTCCGCTTTCTCCATATCCCACCAAAAAAACGATGTTAGGACTGCGGGTCTGTCAAAATACACAGTCACTACACTTTGCAGTTCCGAAGGCTGCCTCTTTGCGATCACAGCTGAGGCGTGTCACAGGTTCCCACACATTCCCGTAGATTTCTGCACCTTGTCACTTGTGAAGTGAAGGAGACAGAAACAGGTGTGTGTGTGTGTGTGTGTGTGTGTCTGTGGAAGCGAGCGATTTGGAAAACAATTTTTACTAATCCCAAGCAATTATACGTTTGATCTCCTTTTCCAGGCTCGAGCCAGCACCCTGGGCCTTTCTAATTATAACATCAATTTCATCTCAGCGCTGGGCGAACACCAAATATTGCTCTCCGAAAAAATAAATAATCCGATCAATACGATTCCTGAGCGTACTCTTGGCAAGGGGACAAAAGGCATGTCACACTAACAAGGTCCTTGTCACACTGCCCTTTCCAAAACATAGGAGCGTCAAATGTCAGATGCCTATTATGATACTGTACCTGTTCCACACACTCATTGTTCCCCGTTGTACCATTGAGCCACATGCCTGCTCTCTGGTATTTTGCTCTCCTTTTATTGAGAGCAGGATAACACAAGCCTATCTGGCGTGTAGATAAAGGGTAATTGGAGACAGGAGAAAGACTTCTGTAAGCACCAGTCTTTAATTTGAGATTGGGGTGGGTGGGGGGAAGAGCGAGGGAGGGGAATGCAAAATATGACGTTATCAGATTTACCTGACTGACACAGCCAGAAATGTCCAGCACTTTAGGATGTCCTCCCGACGTGAAAGTTGCTGTATATAAGTGTAAATAGTATTATATTGATTTTCATCATTATTAACAATACTCGTGCATTTGATACAGTGCTTTTCACATCAGGAGAGCATCTCCCAGAACTTACTGTAAAGAGTAGTGACTGAATGTTTTGTAGGTGTGTAATTTGAGTGCTGACGTCTACCCTTGACCCTCCCTCTCTCCCTCCCACCCACCCTCCCCGAACCCCACCATTGACGCAGTGGTGACCTGAAGTTTAACAGAGTAACAGAGGACAATATTGGAAAGGTGAGGGAGGCACTGGGAATTGTACTGCTGCCTTCATAACTTTCATAACCTTACAGCGTTTTGTGAATGTTCAGTGTAATTCGAACACGAAACCGCTCTGGTTTCCACACAATTCAAGGTGTCATTTTAGAGGCTTCAGGCTGCATGAAGTTAATGGAAAGCACAAGGAATCTGGAGCAGCAACAGTGATTTAAAACTCGGAGAGAACCAAATAAAGGGAGTGGGAGAGGCAGACTTGAACCCTAGCCCACCACTGCCATTTATACACCCCACGGTGGGTGGCAGTGTTTCATCAGACCGTGACAGTGTTATTGTCGGCTCGTCGCAGTCAGGAATTAAATGAATTTAATAAAGCATTTTTCATATGGAAGTAGGTAATGAAATAGCAAAGACAGCGGCCGAGAGGGTTCTCTAAGCTGTGGCTGGGCGGAGCACCTGCAAAACAAATCAGATTTTTATCAAACGGCGAAGGGAAACTGCAAAGCGCAGTGGACCCCCAGATGCGCACAGGAGGAGCTGTAGACCGCTTGCGTGGGGAGAGCTGGATTGACGTGGTTGCCATCCGTTGGATGAGATGCCAAACCGAGAACCCGTCTGTGAGTGTTGGGGGGAATATTAAAAGATTCACGTGGCTCGACTTGAAAAGAGAAGGGAATTTTTCTTCTCCGGAAGCAGATCCGATTATAACTTTCAAAAGGGAATTGGATGGTACCTGAACAGGAAAACGTTTGCAGGGCTGTGGGGAAAGAGCTAATAGGGGCTAATGGGGTAGCTCTTTCAAAGAGCAGGCTCAGGCTTGATGGGCCGAATGGCCTCCTGCTGTAAGATTCTACGATTCTCTCCCAGTGCCCTGGCCAAACTGGATAAAATTCCCGGCTGTTGTCCTGCCGTTGCTGTGTGCAAATTGGCTCCTGGGCTCGCTTACAAAAGCACTGTCACTACACTTAACGGTAAAACCCCGGGAAGCCCTTTGTGGTGGGCTCCGGACGTGAAAGGCGCTGTATCAAATGCAGGAATGATGATGATTATTGTTATCATCAATTATTATTATTATTATTATTTCTTGGGCTGTGTTAACGTACGGCAAATGTCTAAGGGTATGTGTTTCATTGTGACTGCAGGTCCCATGCAGGAGACGGTTAAGGACTTCTGGAGAATGATCTGGCAGGAGAATTCAGCCAGTATCGTCATGGTAACTAATCTGGTGGAGGTGGGAAGGGTATGACACGTTTTCTAAAATTCATATAACTTTCTGTGCGCGAGCTTTTCGTTCATCGGGAATTGTCATTTCGGAAGCAGATTCACCACGGAGTCTCGACAAAACCTCCCCCGGTCCCGAGCTTTCGAGGCTTCCCCGAATCGCTCCGGTAAATTCTGAATGAACCCGGCAGCGTGCGGAACAGTTTCGAAATGAAAATTCTTCGAATATTTTTGTTCCGAGGCATTTCCTTGGGCCAGCCGGCAATTTAGATAATCTGAATATTGCTCTCGCCGCTGAGTCAGGAGGTTGTGGGTTTGAGCCCCACCGCCCCCTCCCCTCACACCCCCCACCCCTCCCACTTCAGGCACGTTTGAATTCACACAGTTTGGGCTGGGCTGATGCTCCAGTGTGGTGCTGGGGTGTGGGGAGGATCTGCTGCAATGTCGGAGGTGCCGTCCTTCGGATGAGATGGAACTCGCCGTCTGTCTGTTCAAGTGGACGTGAAAGATCGCGGGTGGTGATTCGAAAAGAGAACAGAGTTTCTCCACATCGGTCACTCACTTCACGGCTACTTTGTTTGCGGGGACTTCGCTGCTTGCAAATTGGCTGCCGCATTCACCCACACAACACACAATCACTACACGTTGACTGCGAATCCTCGGAAACGCCTTGAGGCACCCTCCCGACATGAAAGGCCCTGCATGAAATGTAAAGGATTATTATAAGAGATCGGAGGTAGTTTTTGTTTATTTCGAGCACGACGTACACAGTGTCGGGAACAGTTGTGGGGGTGGATTGGTTGTGGGGGGGGGGAGCATCAATATAGGGCCATTAGATTGTAATCCCACTCTTTCCGGTTAAAACGGTGGTAGTGGGGTGAGTGCCTTATCACTGGGAGATTACAGTGCTTTCTACACCAGATATTATAGACCAGGCAACAAACAGCACCTTCACCATTACACTCAAAAACACTTGCTAACCTTTCGTGATAGAGAAAAATGGGCTTGTGTGAAACCGACACTGGAATCAGGTGCTTGACCCTTATGCTGTGTATTGAGGTCCCCAGTTCTAATGCGATACTCTATTCCCCGGCATATCGAGCTGCCTAGTTAATTCTCTCTGGTCTTCATTATTTTGGGGAGGGGGGGGAGGTGATGAAAATTAAGATTTCTTATCTTTCTTCCCCAGTGTTTAAATTGTGATGGAGTTTTATAATTGAAGTGATTAACTGGGGTTAGGAGCTCTTAAAAATCACAGTGTGATTCCAAGCTCAGTGCATTGCCTGCTCCTGGACAGATTAGATTCTCATTCCCTGCGAGAAGTATTAATTGATTTGCCTTCTTGCGCACCGGTTTGTCTCGATTAACAGAAGGGCCTGTAAAATGTCACCGTGTTCATTTTCACAAGTTCAGCAATATGTTATTTTACATGAAGTTAACCTTGTGAGGTAAGGGTATCAAGGGTAAGTAATTGGAGTTGAGGTTGAGGCAAGGGCAAGTAATTGGAGTTGAGGTTGAGGCAAGGGCAAGTAATTGGAGTTGACGTTGAGGCAAGGGCAAGTAATTGGAGTTGACGTTGAGGCAAGGGCAAGTAATTGGAGTTGAGGTACAGATCAGCCATTATCGTATGGAATGGCTGAACAGGCTCGATGGGCTGAATGTCCTACTGCTGTTCCAATGTTCCTAGGTATTTGGTCACAGGAGATCATGAGAATCGGGGGATGTAATCCCACTTAATGCTGTTCATTTCAGTTCTTTTGTTTGGGGAAATCATTAGGTTCGTGTGTGCGCACTCACACGTCTGGTATGTGTGCGAAAATAAATGTCAAAATCTTCAGTGTTTTAAGAACTGTAAGATGATTTTACAGTGCGCAGTTTTTAATCCTAAATGATCCCGTGCACTAATACTATCACTTCGTCGAGACGGCTCAAAGTGTATTACCCGGTTTTACTGTGAAGTGCATTAACTGTATTTTGTGGGCGAAAGCGGCAGCCAATTTGCATACAGCAATTGCCCACAAACTGTCATGAAATGAATGATCAGTTGAAGGGGATTTTAGGCCAGGACATAAGGGAGAAACTCCCTTCTCTTTTCGAATAACGCTGCAGGATCTTTAACAGCCACTTGAACAGAAACAGACGGAACCTCGGTTTAACTCCTGATACGTTCGCCCACAAAACACACAGTCACCACACGTTACAGTAAATCCTACCAAGCACTTTGGAACATTCTCCTGACGTGAAAGGCGCTGTGTGAAATGCATGGATTGTTATTGTTAAAGGTTTCGTTCCTTCACTTTCTTGGAACGTCAGAGGTGTACAGTAATTAGCAATTCAGTAATTGTTGAATTCAGTCTCAGCTTTCAAGCAGTTTACGTGTATGTTTGAAATAACTTGCGGAATTACCTGGTGATGTGCCAGTGGTCCGCTGTGCAGATATCATGCCTTTGTCTCTTTGTTTGTTCGCCTTGCCTCACCTTCCAGGTGAAGTGCTGCAGGTATTGGCCTGACGACACAGAGGTCTACGGAGACATCAAAGTGACACTTGTGGAGACCGAGCCACTAGCAGAGTACGTCATCCGGACTTTCACCGTCCAAAAGGTAACGTCAGTCACTGCTCCAAAGTCACTGTGGGCAAAATTAGAGGCCCAAAATGCCAGATGGAGGAAGAATTAACTTAATGTCCCCCCAATTGAACACTAGCACTTTCTCCCCGGTGCAAGAGTTTGCATTCAGCAAGTCAAGCAAGAACCTTGGCTAATGTTTTTTCCCTGACTCCCAGCTTTAAGCCTCGCATTTTGTAGCAAAAATGATACCAATGGGTACCCGGAAAGAGGCAGGTGGTTCCATTCAGCAGTATGGATATAGCCAAAGTGAATGGATGTCATTGGTCCATTGGTATGAACTTAGCATTGATCTAACATACTCTGCTTGCATTGTTGGTACATCAGACTTTTAATACCAGCCATCGATAATCAAACGTGAAATGCCTGCTATCATATTTTTACTCTCGGAATCTCGTGTAATTAAGTGCTGGACTCAGTCAGTGCTGGAGAGAGAGGAAGACAAAGATGGAGATGGAAAGAGAGACAGAGAGAGAGAGAGAGAGAGAGGGAGAGAGATACACAGAGAGTGTGGGCTGATCTGATTCTAAAGAACTGCTTTGTGTCATCTCATCACTCTCGCTTGACACTTCTTGCAAAATGTTCAGCCTTCTCTTGAGTGCACAAGCACAAAGCCATCGCCTTTACACAATAACTATAGACAATTGCTGCGTGCCATCAGCTGACATTCACAGCATTAGGAACAGCCAACTCGTCAACTTCTATTTGAAGAAACTTTCATTTTCTCAGGACATAAATCGGCAGAACCTTAATGATGTGGTTTCAGGGCTAAACACGTTAAGCATTAATAAGCTGAAGGGCTTCTGGGGCTTGACGGTAGCTTCCTGCAAGGCTTGGGACCAATAAAAGGCATTTAAACACTAAATGGTCTGACCTTTTTTTGAAGGAAATCCTCAGAACTTCATAGGTTTAGTGCACCCGCAGATGAACTGGGTCAAAGGATTTGCACCCGAGCTTGGGCTTGGGATCAGGTGGGGTGGAGGGCAGGAAGGGTGGGGGTAGGAGGATGACCAAAGGCTGCTTTCGTTACGTGGGCTATTGTTACGTAGCGAAGAGGAACTGTAACAAGGCAACCAGTCAGTTCGCTCAACATTATAGACGTATCAGGATGCAGGAGTCATCCCTCTCGTGTATATTGACTGTTGATCTCTCTCTTCATTGTAGAAGGTGAATCATGAAATCCGCGAGATTAGACAGTTCCACTTCACCAGCTGGCCTGACCATGGGGTACCCTGCTATGCAACAGGCTTACTGGGATTCGTAAGACAAGTTAAGTTCCTCAACCCATCCGATGTTGGGCCCCTGGTGGTGCACTGCAGGTACGTTTCAGCCTCTCCTTTAGTCACATCAGCAACACTTGCAGTATCTCCTCTTTATAATAATAATAATAATAACAATCCCTGCATTTGATATAGCACCTTATCATGTTATTGAGTGTCTCAAATCGCTTCACAGAATACACCGTAAAGTGAATTGACTGTGTATGTTGTGGGCGAGTCGCGGCAGCCAATTGCGCACAGCAATGACCCACAAACAGTCGGTGGAGCGAGTGACTCAATTATTATCATTTTTGGAGGGAATTATTACACCTGGAAAAGATGTGCCAATCAGCTAACAAGCGGGTTCCTACTTACTGCTAGGTAAGCAGAGGCGTATGTGCCTAAGTTTTTCTCCCCGCCCAGGAATCGAACCCGGGTCCTCTCGCTTGCTTACGAGGCGAGCGGGCTATCTGACGAGTTGGGTTACTCTTAAGTTTTAAGTTGCAGCCAAGATGGCAGCACTCATGCCTCTGAGTCAGAAGGTTGTGGGTTCACATCGGGAACTTTGAACCCATCATACAGTCCAGGCAGACACTCTCTCGCAGTGCTTGGGAGGTCCACAGCATTGTCGGAGGTGCTGTCTTTCGGAGGAGACGTTAAAACCGAGGTCCCGTCTGCCTGTTCAGGTCCTGGTGTTCTGACCAGCAATCCCCCAAATAAAATTGGACACTTGCTCCACGGTTGTTTGTGGGACACTGCAGGGCGGAAACTTGCTGCTGTGTTTCGCCCCCCCAAAAAAAAATAACCCAATCAATTCACTTTACAGTATATCAACAGCATCTCGCATTTATACAGCACTTGACAGCGACAGAGCACGACTGTCAAGTGCTTCCTCTCAAGCAACATCCTGCGAAGCGCTTTGAGACGTCTCAACGACATGACAAGCCGCTGTATCAAATGCAAGGATTAACGTCATTACCTTAAAGTATAGCCCTTACTCGTTCGATGCCGTTTAAATCCCGTTTTTGTTCTGTGAGGGTCTCCTCTGAGTCGTCTTCTCTCGCAATCAACGCAACGCATGCTCTGTTTGTTGAAACGAGCGACGGAGTTGGAGTGGCGAGCTGCATTCGGCGTCTCCGTGTTCTTAAGGTGACGTTCCCGTTTCTGTGTTGCAGTGCTGGTGCGGGAAGGACCGGCTGTTTCATTGCGATCGACATCATGCTCGACATGGCAGAGAGCGAGGGCGTCGTGGACGTTTACAACTGCGTTCGCGAGCTTCGTTCTCAGCGGGTCAACATGGTGCAGACCGAGGTATTGGATTAATCGCAGGGTTTCACTAGCGATCGTTTCAGGGCCTTGATGTTTTATCCGTCCGTGTCCCTGTGTGATTCATGGTGCAAAAAAAAATTTGCCCAGCAAACGTTCAGGGTTTTTTTTTACGATGTAGTTATGCTTTATGGCTCACTCGTTGATCAACGTTGTGAGAATGCATTGCTGGCTGGTGAAGTGTTTGACTGTAAGAGGCTTTTACAGGCTTTTGCACGCTTCCTCCCCAAGCCCCCACCTCCCTCTCCCCTTCCCCTGTATCTGCAATCAACGCATCCAATATTCGAACAAACAAACAACCAAAAAAGGAAGCATCCCAGTGTTGGGGTTGATGCCCTGATGCTCAGAGTCAAGTGCTGCAGGTGAACTCTGTCAATCAATGTCAGCCTTGGTTTGGAAAAGCAACCTCCCCCCCTCCCCCCCCTACCACCCAGGTATCCCAATACCCCTTAATGGGAGGGAGGGAATCATCCCACTCAGCTCCTGTTAACCCTGCAAGCCAAAGGTCCAACGGGTAGGGTGGACCTAGCTGGACAAGCAGCAGGAAGGCTTGCCAGACCTCAGCCATGATCTAATAGAATGGCGGAACAAGCACAAGGGGCTGAATGGCCGACTCCTGTTCCTATTATTCCTATTATTCCTATTGTTTCATCTTTGTCCTGTAGGAGCAATATGTCTTTGTGCACGATGCGATCCTGGAGGCATGCTTGTGTGGAAATACAACCATCCCTGTGTGTGAATTCAGAGCCATGTATTTCAACATCAGCAAAGTGGATCCCCAGACCCACTCCAGCCAGATTAAAGATGAATTTCAGGTAAGGGGCAATCAATTAACCTGGCGCCCATGTGATTAAAATATATTCTGCGCTTTGAGACGTCTCGGAGACGTGATAAGGCGCTTTATGAAATGCAAGGATTATTATTATTAAAATCTAGCAAGGGGAAGCATTCTTTCTGTGGCATGTTAAACATCTTCGTCCAAACGTGGATGTCTCTCTCACGAAGCCTGCGATTCCCCCAGTCTGTCTTTTAAGTCTGTTTTTGCCTTAAAATCATCCTTGCATTTCCAGTCAACGCTGTGGAGGACAAGTATTGAGGGCAATGGGGAGAGAGCGGGAAAGTGGGATTGATTTGGATAGCCCTTTTCAAAGAGCCAGCACAGACACGATGGGCTGAATGGATTCCTTCTGTGCTGTGTGATTCTATGAACGTGGAAAAAGTGTCAAATTCGGTGTCAGTTTTCAAAGGGGTGGTTTTCCCGCAATTCTTAAATGGAACCACATGTCTTTCAAAGTTCAGACTGAGTTTAACAGTCTTGCAAAGTTCTCCCTGGTCTCAAAAGCATTTAAGGCGAAGGTTCTTGAGGTTAAGCCAGTGAGAAATGCCGAGCTTCTGAATGCTGGCTGGCAGGAAGGCACGGCAGAGGGACTTGCCCATTCTCACAAGAATTCATCGCTCACCACGTAGCGAAACACGTGCAGAACGGTAATCTTCCGAGGTGCGGGAGGGCTCCCGGCGCGAGTTAATGATAACCATAATCATAAGTCTTTGTAGAAGGTTGGTTGGAGAACGCTGTTGAGTTTTGTCCAATGTTTTGTTAATCTTTTGTAACGAATTAATGTTTCATTAATATCAATATTTGGAGTTGAGTTCAGATCAGTCATGATCTAATAGAATGGAGGAACAGGCTCGAGGGGCTGAATGGCCTATGCCTGTTCCTAGGTTCCCATGTTCTCAGTCTCTCCCCCTTGTGATTCCCGCCCGCAGACGCTGAACATTGTAACTCCTCGTGTGCGTGCGGAGGACTGCAGCGTGGGTCTGCTGCCTCGGAACCACGACAAGAACCGGAATATGGACGTGCTGCCCCCAGACAGATGTCTTCCCTTCCTCATTTCCGTAGATGGCGAAACTAGCAACTATGTCAACGCTGCGCTGATGGACGTAAGTCACATGTGGGAGACAAAAATGATAATAATAAATCAGTCACTTCGATCCAGGACTGTTTGTGGGACGCTGCTGTGCGCAATTGGCTGCCACGTTTCGCCCACAAAATATACAGTCGATACACTTTATAGTATATCCTATTCGGAGCTGAGCAGACCGTGTAATAGGACCCGGTTTACTCAATTGCGGTAATTGGGGACCAATTCTTCCTTCAGGGCTGTTTCCTTTGTAGAAGAGAGAAAGCAGAGAAACAGGACATGTGGTAAAGTCTAATCAGCGTGTGTCTAATTTTACCTTCTCAGAGCTACAAGCAGCCTGCGGCCTTTATTGTTACACAGCATCCATTACCAAATACCGTGACAGATTTCTGGAGGCTGGTGTTTGACTATCACTGCTCGGCCATAGTCATGTTGAATGAAATCGATGCTGCACAGGTAGGTAAACACAGGTGTGCCCTGCGCCGCATCATCAGAGGTGCCGTCCTTTGGATGAGAACTTAAACCCAGTTCCCATCTACCTGTTCAGGTGGACGTTAAAGATCCCACGGTGGCAATAGAGAAGGGAGTTTCTTTCCCGGCCTCCTGGCCAATAAGCCTCCAAATAAATAATTGATCGTTTCGCTTCATGGGTGTTTGCGGGCCGTTGCTGTGCGCAAATTGGCTGCCCCTTTCGCCTGGAAGAGGCAAACACAGTCACTACGCTTCTCAGCAGCTTCTGTGAAGTGCTTTGAGCCATTCCCGAAATACTAGACGTTATGTCGAATGCGAGGATTATTATATACCCACAATCGTATCACAAATTGCATGAAGAATCCAAGCACTCTGGAGTCTAATAATAATAATAATCCTTGCATTTAATATAGCACATTATCACGTCTTCGAGATGTCTAAAAGTACTTTGCAAAATAGGCTTATTCTGTGAATATTAATACCTTATTCAGTACTAGTTCCAATCAAACACAGCCACTGTTTGCAACCAGAGTGGTGTTTATTAAACTCCAGGATCCGTCCAAGTTCCCGATGGGCGTGGGCAAGTAGGCACAATCAATCGATTCACTAACAGAACAATACTACTGTGTAATCCCTCCTCGTGGTCGTCAACTTCTGCCTTCTAGCTCTGTCTTCCATCCACAGTAGGTACTGTCCTGGGCGCACCGATCTTGGTCTGGTACGGCGTCTTAAGCTTGTGTCCATCCAATAATGGTGCGGACATTAGGTCACCTGGCCAAAATCATGCTGGGTTCACGTGAACATCTCATGGGGTGTACGTGCCTCACACACACAAGCACACTGTCCTTGAGACAGTCCGTTGTCTCGTGTACGTGCAGGACAGTAGTACACATCTTGTCCTTGAGACACTCACGTGATCCTGGGAGTAAACTCATGAGTTTCAGTCCAGTTGCTCCCCCACACTTAACTTAAAAGTTAACCCGTTCGCAACATCTATTATGATTCTAACATTATACAAAAAGTGTAAATTCTAACATAGTCGAGAGGTCCAAGCAAGGGGTCATGGTTGCAAACTCGGCATAGATCTCTGGTGAACTCTGAGTTGTTTGCTACAAATCTTTGATTGCAGTTTTAGATTGTCTTATCCATTAAACTTCTGATAACTCGATCCTGGCTTAACTTGGCGTTGCCACTTAAGTCATCATATTCTGTAAAGGCGTTTCAAGGACGTGATAAGGTGGTCTATCAAATGTAGGGATTATTATTATTATTATCATCATGCTGTCAATATCCTGGCCACATCCATTCATACCTAACTCACCACTCCTGATAGCCTGTCACTGAGTCCTGGTACCTTGGCGTGACAGGTTATAAGGAGTTTACTATTGCCTGTGAGTGGTGGGAGCTAACTTGGTAACATAACTATGTGTCTGTCTCCTTCAGCTCTGCATTCAATATTGGCCGGAGAAAAGTCTGTGCTGCTATGGGCCTATTCAAGTGGAATTCATTTCAGCTGACTTCGAGGAGGACATCATTGTTCGGGTTTTCCGCATCTACAATATGGCGAGGGTAAGATAGCTAACCCTCGCAGGCCATTAATAACTCTTTCAAAAACAAAAAATTGGTCATTCAATCCACAATTGTTTGCGGAACACTGCTGTGCGCAATTGGCTGCCGTGACTCACCCACTGGTCAATCTTCTTTGCAATCTATTCCGTCGAGCACTTCGAGACGTCTCAACGACGTGATAAGGCACGATATCGAATGCAAGGATTATTATTATTATTTCTTGACTGCCAATATCCCGCTCACCAGGTTATGATGAATTGGAGCAAAATTCTGATGTTTCCCGTTTTATTGAAGGAAAAATGTTCGACGCCCAGGCTCAATCATCTCAGCCGAGGTGCTCCAGTGTTTTGACGTGGATATTCCACGTGAATAAACAGAGCAAGCTCAAGGAATAGGAGGAGGCCATTCAGCCCGCTGAGCCTGTTACGGCAGTTTGTTAGATCACCGCGGATTCTGTTATCCCACTTCCCCACCATATCTCCATACCCTTTAACACCCTTCCACCCGTTTAAACGTCCCAATTTATTTCACCTCTAAGGCCTTCTGGGGCAGTGCGTTCTATGCTAAAAAGTGCTCCATTGAGCTTCAAACTCACAACCCAGCGATTAGCAATTGAAGGTCTTTAACCTTACGATCGCGCTAGGACTAAGCTCCACCAATACACTTGTCTCCTGCATAATTTGCGCTGGATAAGTGCGAATTGTTGCACATTCTCTCCTCATTCATTAATAGACTCCTTTATGAGATGGTTCAACCTGTCCAACACTTAACAATGGACCCTACACTTGGAGACTTGCCAACACTGACACCAGGGTGTGTGGCAGTCCTATGTTTCTATGTCCTCTTATGGATTCCCACCTGCGCTTAAAATGCGCTGTGTTGTGTGAGATCCCTTTTCCGTTGTGTTTATTTACCTATGACTCGAAAGATGTTCTGTCTGTCCTTTGGCGAAACATCTCCAACCTTGAAGGGAAAAAAAAAGGACATCTCTTTGGAGTGGGCGCCAATTGAAAGATTCTCCCTTCTCCCTTTCTCTCATTCCCCGTAAAACCGCCTCTCAGCCGCAAGACGGATATCGCATCGTACAGCAGTTCCAGTTTATCGGCTGGCCGTCGTACAGGGACACTCCGGGCTCGAAGCGCTCCTTCCTGAAGCTGATCAGGCGGCTGGAGAAGTGGCAGGAGGAGTACGATGGGGGCGATGGACGCACGGTGGTGCATTGCTTGTGAGTGTGTGTGATGTGACGTTTGGTGTGTTTCCCTTCTCAACCGTGCAACCCCTTAAAGCAACCATTTGTGGGTCGCCCGACCAGATAAATGTCCCTGATTGAAGATTCCCTCATTCATGGCCGGGGGCTATGGCCATCGCCTTTCGTTAGCTACTGGAAACAAGGTATCGATTTGGAACTGATCTGCCAATGTTTGGAAGGTCACTTCTTGACAGCCCACAGGCTGGAAATGCCCTACAGGCTATAGGTTGACCACCGCTGCCTTAAAGGAATGTAACAAACTCCGGGGGAGGTGAGCGGGGAAGCCAAAAAAGGACTTGCTGCTTGAAAATGTTCCATGTACTCGAGTAAAGTGAGTTGTATAGTTACTAGCTGTGCCACTCCACACCCCAGAGTGTTATTCAAGGTCTTCACCTGCATAGAGCATGTAAGAGTCACAGCCCCCACACCATCTCCCACCACTAAAGTATTCATTTTATCACATCTCAGTTGCACGGCTTCGATGAGGTGTCAGCCCGCCTCGGTCGGTAGGAACTCTCACCTCTGAGTCTTACAACAACAACAACAACAAGATTCCATTTATAAAGCGCCTTTCACGTCAGGAGGACGTCCCAAGGCGCTGCACAGTTGGGTCATGACCCGAGCAGGGGGGAAATGGTCAGGGTGAGGGAAGGGAGGGAGCAAGGAGGGGGGAAATGGTCAGGGTGAGGGGAGGGAAGGGAGGGAGCGAGGAGGGGAAGAGAGTCGAGAGGGGAGCTGAAGGCACGGTCAAAGAGAAAGGTTTTGAGACCGGCCTTGAAGGAGGAAAGGGAGGAAGCGGCGAAGGCACTGGGGGATGGAGTTCCAGAGCCTGGGGCTGAGAGGCTGAAGGCCCGACCACCGATGGTAGGGCGGTTGGGGCGGGGGACGTGGAGCAGACCGGAGCCAGAGGAACGGAGGGTACGGGCAGGTAGGTAGGGGGATAGTAGGTTGGAGAGGTAGGAGGGAGCAAGGCCGTGAATGGCCTTGTAGGTGAGGATGAGGATCTTGAAATCAATCCTCTGGGGGATGGGGAGCCAGTGGAGGCGAGCGAGGGTGGGAGTGATGTGGTCCCGAAGCCTGGTGCGGGACAGTACACGAGCTGCAGAGTTCTGAATGACCTGCAGCTTGTGGAGGGAGGTGGCGGGAAGGCCGGCGAGGAGAGAGTTCCCATAGTCCAGCCTTGAGGTGACAAAGGCGTGAACCAGGGTTTCAGCAGCGTGAGGGGTGAGGTAGTGCCGTAGTCTGGCGATATTCCGGAGGTGATGGAAGGCGGTGCCAGTTGTGGTGCGGATGTGAGGGAGAAAGGACAGCTCAGGGTCGAACAAAACGCCGAGGTTCCTGACTGGCTTTGAGAGGTGGAGAGTGCAGCCTTGGATGCTGATGGTGTCAGCGCCTGAGGTGCGGAGGCGCTGACGTGAGCCAATCAGGAGGGCCTCGGTTTTTCGCACGTTGAGCTGAAGAAAGTTGTCTCTCGTCCAGGACTCGATGTCGGACAGGCAGGCTGTCAGGACATCGGTGGTCGTGGAGTTGAGAGTAGAGGAGGAAAGGTAGAGTTGGGTGTCATCCGCATACATGTGGAAGTTAACTCCATGTCTGCGGATGATGTCACCAAGGGGGAGCATATAGAGGGTGAAGAGGAGGGGACCGAGGACAGAGCCCTGAGGGACACCACATGAGACAGTACGGGGGGTGGAGGAGAAGCCATTCGTTGAGACAAAGTGAAGACGGTGAGAAAGGTACGACCTAAACCATTCAAGGACAGTGCCTTGAAGGTTGAGGTGGGAGGACAAGCGGTGGAGTAGGATAGCGTGGTCGACCGTATCGAATGCTGCCGATAGGTCGAGGAGGACGAGGAGACAGAGGGAGCCCTGGTCACAGATGGTCAGGATATCATTGGTGACCTTGACCAGGGCAGTTTCTGTGCTATGGCAGCACGGAAACCTGACTGAAGGGGTTCGAAAAGAGAATGGGTGGAAAGGAAAGAGCGCAGTTGGGAGGCGACAACTCTTTCCAAGACCTTGGAGAGAAAGGGGAGGTTGGAGATGGGCCGGTAGCTTGATAGCTGCGACGCATCAAGGGAGGGTTTTTTCAGGGTGGGCGTGATGATGGCAGTTTTTAATGGAATGGGGACAGAGCCAGAGGAGAGGGACAGGTTGATGATGTCAGTGATATGTGGGGCAAGAAAGTGGAGCTGGGAGATAAGGAGTGGAGTGGGGATGGGGTCAAGGGAGCAGGTGGTTGGTTTTAGGGATAGGATGAGTTCAGTGACAGAGGGTGGGGAAACGGGTACGAAGGTGTGTAGGGGAGGATGGGTAGGAGTCGGAGTGTGGGAGGGAAGGGGTGGGTGGTGGGTGGAAGTTGGAGGGGAAGTGACCGCGGAGCGGATTCCCTTGATCTTGGATTCAAGGAAATCCAGCATCTCCTCGCAGTGAAGGTTGGAGGAGATGACCTGCGCGGGGTGGCGGGGGGGACGGAGGAGTCGGGTTGTGGTGGAAAACAGTAGCCTGGGGTTGTTCTTCGCCTCCAGGATTATCCTGGAGTCTTAGCAGGTTGTGGGTCCAAGTCCCGTGTCCAGGTCTTTCAACTGTCGCAGGTGCTATCCGTTAAACCGAGGTCCAGTCTGCCTGTTTAGGTGCACGTTAAACATCCCGTAATAATGTCCGAGAGAGCAGGTCTCAATATTGTCCTGTCCTGGCCAACGATCTATAAATTGGGTGCCAGGTTCGCCCTTATAAATTACGCACTGTGAAGCACTTCGAGACGTCCTTCCGACGCGAAAGGCTCTGTATCAAATAACGGGATTATTATTATTCATTGATTTGAGGTTTCCCCTCAAAAAAACATTTCACATTTCGGATGCTTCGGATGCGAGAGAGGAGGCTTTCACCCGACAGGAGGCTGAGCTGGGCTAGAATTCAGAGAGGAGGCGAGAGAGTGTGAGGGAACTCTGCATTACCCAGTTTCAAAAAATATTCAATGCAATTGTGTGTCTCTTCTCTCCCCCTCAGTAATGGCGGTGGACGCAGTGGGACACTCTGCGCAGTACGTAGTATCTGTGAGATGATTCAGCAACAGAATATAGTGGACGTTTTCCACACGGTCAAAACCCTGCGGAATAATAAATCCAATATGGTCGATACGCTGGTAAGATGGAGTAATGTCCTTTTAAAAAAAAAGGGGTAGTAACTGAGCCGTGGAATCACATCATAGTTTTGCAGTCTCCAATGTAACTTATACATCCCCACCCTCTAAGATATTAAATGTTATGGTCCCGACTGATACGACTTATGTGAGTTTTACTCATATATTTACTCAAATATCTATGATATTTATGATATTTGTTGATGGGATTTCTTAACAAGGAGCAAAATGCTTCCCATTGGAGCAAAATGGAGAGATCCTCCCCGTAAGCGTTTCTGGGTGACTTTCCCTCCCCCCATGACCTCGCCTTGAGACTGAGTTCCTGCAGGACGACTGGAATTCCGTTAAGAAATACTTTACCACAAATTAGGTTCCAGTTTGTATCTCCTGATATTTACCAATGAGCGAACAGTGTAGTGAGCTCCAAATCAGACGGTTAATGAGCTTGCAATTGTGTGTTTGATCTCGCCCGACTTTTTCACTCTAGGATTCCTCTGTTTAGAGGCAATCTAATCCTGCTTAAACCGCGCAAAGCCTTTTCCTCCCCTTCCCCCCCCCCCCCCCCCCCCCCCACCGAACGCATCAATTTCAAGTCCCTCACACTCGTCTTCAAATCCCTTCACGCCCTGGCACCTCCCTACCTCTCCGGCCTGCTTACCCCCCACCCAACCCTCAACCCGTTGCCTCCACCGACTGGCTCTGGCCTTCTGAATGTTCCTTGTGCCCTCCGTTCATCATCAGCAGCTGCACTTTCAGCCACTACCCACCAAGACTCTGGAACACTTGCCCTCAATCCCTGCACTTTGCCCCCTCTTTCCCCATTTTCAGGTCGCGCCTGAAGACCTACTCCTCTGACCGGGCTTATGATCACCTCCCCCCAGCTCGGCGTTCTGCTCCGCCACTGTCAAGCGCTCTGAGACGCTCCTTTGAGTGAGAATCCCTATATAAATACATTTTGGTTTCTGCTGGTGGTTGGAAATTAAAATTGGAAATTTCATCCACAAAATACACAATCAATTCACTTCACAGTATATTCTGTGAAGCGCTTTGAGACGTCTCAAATACCTAATAAAGCACAATATCAAATGGAAGGATTCTTAAATTAGACGATTGACCACCAGAATTAAATAAGCAACTGTCGTGGAAAACGGCGTAATAGCAAGATAGATAAAGCTATTTAAAATTACACCATTTACACAGGTTCCGTTAACAAAAACTGACATTTATTTCCGTCTCTTAGGAGCAGTACAAGTTCTGTTACGACGTAGCACTGGAATACCTGAGTTCCTTTTGAACTTCTGCGAAGGGAAGCAACCTATTGTGGGAGCACAGTGACACTTTAACCCAACGTACATGAAACCCTTTTGCAAACTTGTGCAAAAACAAACAAACAAACAAACAAACAACTCAGAACACGGAACACAAAAGAGCGACCAGAAAAGAACGAAAGAAGTTTGCATCGCATTGTTGCTCTCCAGCATCTTGGCGAAACCAGTAAGGAAAGTTGAGGGCAAAAGGCGGGCAAAGGGCATGTCCACAAACCCCCTGACTGAACTGGCCGTGAGATGCCATGCTTGCCCAGCATCTCAGCTCTGTTCGTGCCACAAGTACATTACCGCAGCCTGTATATAGGAGGGCGTTTTATTTCCGCAGCTGTTCATTTTGTCGCGTGTCCCTGTGTATTTCATTTCTTTCAGTGTTTCTCAACCGTTTCACGTTCCATCGTTGCACCTTCGGTCCTTCACTCTCTCCGTCTGTGTGTCTCCTCTCTCTGTCTCTCTCTGTGGTCTGTCAACAGGATGTTATTGAGTGCTTTGCTCAGAATCTGTGGTCTGAAAGCTTGAATGAAACTCCTATTTGGTCGTCAATAATTTGTTGATGTCTTCGCTGAGATGTCTTAGGAACATAGGAACAGGAGGAGGCCATTCAGCCCCTCGAGCCTGTTCCGCCATTCTATAAGATCATGGCTGATCTGTACCTCAACTCCCAATTACCCGCCTTTGCCCCATATCTTTTGATACCCTGACCTGACAGAAATCTCTCCACCTCAGTCTTGAAAATTTCAATGGATTCAGCCTTTTGGGGGAGAGAGTTCCAGGTTTCTGCAACCCTTTGTGTGAACAAACTGCCTCCCGATTTCACTCCTAAATGATCCTGGCTTCCACCGAGCGTCACTTTTTTCTTCCATAGCCTTTGAAAGTTAAAAGGTGAATCTTTTTTTAAAAAAAATCTTTGGTGCAACTTCTAAATAGCTGTCAGTAAAATCCCTCGTTAACTATTCAGCCATCACTCCTTTTAACCAAAATGAGCTTTGTTTGGTTCTACAAGTAAGGTCGGAAGATATACTTTGTCACATTAAAATTTGGTGCTTTACTCCATGAAATTAGGAGTGCGGTTAAAGCAACTTTTAAGACCCATCTCTGGATGCTGTTACAGAGGAAATTCTTTCCAAATGTTCCCTCTGACTGAAGGAGCCGTAAACAAAGTATTACTATATGGGGAGTTTATAGCATGTAAGAGCTTTAGATTGACTTATTTTACGATGGATGTGATTTTGTCAATTTTAATAGACAGAAAGTAACATTGCAGCCGGCAGGTTTTTTGGCAACATTTATCAAAAGTCCACACTCATACTTTTTTTTGGCTAAATTTTGCAACTCTTATGGAAAAACTCCGTAAATACCCATGTGAAGGAGGGACCAAAGGGTTGGATTGCCCAAGGTTGGTCGTCTGCAAACCTGGAAGCAAGTTAGAAACTCTGTTTCATGTCGAATCGTATCACTCACAAATTATTGGAGCACTTAGCTCCTTGTTGGTCTTGGTTGAAACACGTGGCGATTCCTTTGACATGGAAAGTTTTCTGACTCACCGCAAATTTCGTGCATATATATATATTCCCATTTCCAGTGAAACTCAGAACGTAACTTTTTTCTCACTTTAGCAAATGAGAAAGAGTTAGACCAAAACACATGAACAATATACTTTGCCCAAGTACTAACTAGCCTTGTGTGTTCCCTTTTCAGCTCTGTTTTCTGTGTTTGGTAGGTAAAAAGCATGTATAAGTGGCTTCACTGTGCAATATTCTGTAGCAGTTCTAACTTTCTGGCTTTACAACATTATTGTAAATTATGTTAAGTCAAATAATGTATGAAATATTTTTGACAGTACATAAAAAAGTAACGTGACCTTTTTACAACTTGCAATGCCATCTGATTAATTTATTCTTATATATGTTGTAAGAAACTGTTTTAAAATGGCCCTCTTTGCCGACTGTACAATAAAGTCAATGGAATGTGTACCAGCTGGAGTGATTTCCTTGCTCTAATCTGAACGTCTTGTGTGTTCGCCTGACTCAGTTGGTAGCACTCTTGTCTCTTGAGTCAGAAGGTTGTGGGTTCCAAGCCCTCCAAGTCGGCACTTTGAACTCACAGAGTCCATGCTGCCACTCCTCCGCAGTGCTGGGGGGGGGGGGTTAATAATTCATAATATAACCTTTTTTTTAAGGGATTATTAGCCTCAGAAAGCGATCCACCAATCGACCCATGACCGGATTCGTCCTTGCTGCTCGGTAAACTTGCCTACTGTTTCGCCCCACCTGGGGAATCGAACCTGGGTCTTTTCACTTGCGAGGCGAGAGCTCTAACCGCTGTGCTACAGGAATGAGCACCAGCCTGGGCAGGTAAAAATAATATGTGTGTAAGGAAGAACAATTGAAGGAAACAAAGGAAAATCCAATAGATCCGTTAAACACCCTGGATTGATTCACGTCTAAGGGGACGCTATTTATTTTCGCTCATGCTGAACTCGCTCTTTCCAGCCTCGCCTGTAATTACGTGAGCTCCGATTATCTGCTCGCATTCTGGTTGTTTGACTGACTGCTCCTCCACTGCGCTCTTCCACCTCCTCCCAGGGAAGGAGCTGGCTGTCAGTCAAGCAACATCGCTGCAGATGTGGCCACTTAATTAGTGCGTGCCCTTGACATCACAGTGACAGCTTTCTGTCGCTGCCATCACGATGCAGGCTGCTATTTTCACCCGGCACTGACACACACTCTGGGGCGAATAACGTGACGTTTCATGGCAGATCCCATGTGCTAATTAATACATCGAATCTGTCATGCAAAGCCGCATTTCTCCACAACCGACTGCCTCCTCCTCTTACAACGACTTCAGAAATCGTCAGAACTCAGACAAATGCACAAATTGCCACCAATGAGGCAACAAAGCCGAGAGGTCGAGTTACACAGAATTTAGGCCAACTAGTCCGTACCAGTGTTTATACTCCAAAAAAGCCCCCACCCCTCCTCTACAACTCTCTACTTAATACAATTTGGGATTTCTGATCCTAAGCCTAAGTTTATTAATGTAATAACAACAATACTTGGGTTTGATACCACACCTTACCTACATCATCAATGTCGATAGCTTTGAGACATTCTCCCTCCCGACCTGAAAGGCACTTCATCAAAGGCAAAATATGATTATTATCATTATTTACAGTATTGCCGATGCTACTGCTGAATTCATAGCTGAGCCATAAAGGTGAGGTAAGGTGAGGGAAGTGGAAGCTGTGGATTTGCAGAGCTGTCCGCTCTCAGCGTTGATGTGTAATTAGCAGGCTGGAGATGCTACTAGAAGGAGAGAAAGCCAATATCCACATTTTGCTTCTCCCCCGGGGAACCAGAGTCCAAATGAGAGCTGCAAAAAAAAAATCTAATAAGAGTTGCCAAATTTCAAACATCTGTCAAATCAGGGCTCCTGTCACTGTCAGAGCACTGTGGATCACCAAATTTCTGAGCTGTCAATCTTCTCCACGTTCCCTTCTCCACTGTCTTGCTCCCTCCTACCTCCTACCTCCTAACCCCCTACCCTGTTCGCTCCCTCCGCTCAGCGGGCTCTGGCCTGCTTCACGTCCCCCGCCTTGCTCGCCCCACTATCGGCGGGCGGACCTTCCGCCACTCAGCATCAACCTCCTGGAACTCCATCCCACAGTCCCTCTGTCTCACCCCCTCCCTCGCCACCTTCAAGACACACCTCAAGACCCTCCTCTTTGACCGTGCCTTTGATCTCCTTGCTTCCCCACCTGCCCTCCAGCCTGCCCGATCTCCACCCCTAGCTCGGGTCCGTAACTCTGTCTGTCCAGCACCTTGGGATGTCCTCCCGCCATGAAAGGCGCTTTACAAATGTAATTATTATTATTATTATTACCAAAAGTGCGGCAGTAATTTTTCTACAGAATCCACCAGGAACAATGCCCTCCGCTATAAAACCCGCTAAAGAAAATGGGAGTTTCTGGTTCCCGGGCTGTCTACCTGATGTCACTGTGGGCAACGGACCTGAGAGAGACCCGAAGTCAAAGGTGAGGAACCGGAAGCGGACGCTGCTTAGAGACGTCCTCACAACAGGGACGAGGACCTGGGGGGGGTAACGACCCCCAAAGCCGCTGTGGGCGGAGCAGCTCCAGATGCAAATACGCAGTCCAGCGCAAGCGGAAATCGGGCTCGGCTCCACTCCACTCAGACGCCCAGCTGTTGAGATTGTCTGTGTGTCTCTCTCTCTCTGTTTGAGCGAATGTGGCAAATTTCCCTGCAACTACTTTCCCCCAAATTTCCCAATTTTCCCCCAATTTTTGGCAAATATCGCCACACTTTTCTATTGGCCCAGGTGATCGGCTGGGGCAGTACGAAAGTGCGGTCGTATTTCTACCGCGGAACCCGCCTCAAAGCCCCCACTACATATGTGCCGTTTGTGGCCCATGGGCCCCTCTTGCCGTTCACCTGATGTCACTGTGGGGTGGGGGGGGCGACCCCGAGTGAGGCGCAAGCGGCAAATGGGCTTCACTCGGAGGCTCCACTGTTGCGTGTGTGTCTCTCTCTCTGTCTCTCTTTATCTATGAATGTATGTGTCCCTTTCTCTCTGGGTCTGAACGTGGTGCTGAGCCCCGAGAGCTCCTATAGCCTCGCTGGTGTCCCCCTTCCCTCCCACCCCCAAAAAGGCCACCCATTTTTTGTTAAAAAACAATTAATTTTTTTTTGCAACAATCTATAATACGTGTTATTTCCTCATGTTTAGTTTTGATCATGAATGTGAAAAAATGTCGGTTGGCGGTAAAATGCACCTCAATAACACCAATCAACACCCTGCCATTTCATGCAATACGTGTCAAAAAAATCCCCCGCAATTTTCGTTCACAGCGTTGGGCAATTCTCCCCGGAATATTTCAGCAAATATTTCCGCACTTTTCTATTGGTCCAAGTTGTCGATCAGCACGTGCTCTCTCTCTCTCTCCACTTGGTGGCTTTAATACTCGAATCGCGTTCACTATTTTCACAGACCCAGAGAGAGAGAGACACACACACACTCACAGACACAGAAAGACACACACACTCACAGAGGGCCACACACACGCAGAGGGTGAGGTCAGGCCGGCTCGTGATGCCCTCTGCACATAGCTCTCTCATAAGAGAGTTTAGGAGGAATCGCCTCATACGAAGGGTAGTGAGAATGTGGAACTCACTGTCAGAAGCTGTGGTCAAAGCAAGAAACATTAACGTATTAAAGAGAACTTGATGCACATTGGAGGGAAAAGGGAATAGAGGAGTATAGGAGAGGGGAATACGAAGGGTGTAGGCTTTTGTGGAGGATAAACACAGGCACAGACGAGTTGGGCCAAATGGCCTACACCTGTGTAGTTTCACTCTTAATTGCTGTTAGGAGTCCTGTAGCTCAGTGGTTAGGGCGCTCGGCTCACAAGCGAGAGATCTGGGTTTGATTCCCGGCAGAGCGAAACCTTGGGCAAGTTTCCTTGCTCCACACGCCTGATAATAATCCCTCAAGAAAAACAACAGTAATAATATTGGTCACTTCAATCCACGACTGTTTGTGGGAGACTGCTGTGCGCAATTGGCTGCCACGTTTC